AGTCGTAATCGTAGTCGTAGTCGTAGTCGTCGTCGTTGTCGTCGTCGTCGTAGTAGTAGTAGTGGTGGTGGTGGTAGTGGTAGTGGTAGTGGTAGTGGTAGTGGTAGTGGCAGTTGTAGTGGTAGTGGTAGTGGTAGTGGTGGTAGTGGTGGTAGTAGTAGTAGTACTACTACTACTACTGCTGCTACTACTACTGCTACTACTACCACAGTAGTAGCAGTAGTACTAGTTCAGTGTGCGGGGAATCTAGAGCAGTTTTATTTGAGCAAGATTGCCAAACAATCTTGCAATCTTGCGCCCCCCGGGGGCGGGGGCAAGATTGCATGCAAGCTTGGTCAATCTAGGTCTGAAGAAGTAAACCTATCGGCGAGCAAGTGGGGCAAGTGGGGCTAGACAACCAAGATTGCAAGATTGCTGGCAATCTTGCTGTTGGACCAAGATTGACCAAGATTTCAAGATGACCGAGACTGCCAAGATGGTTCCACAAAATGATTGTTCTAAAGTCCCGGCACAAAGTACTAGTTGTTTGTGTCACTCAGGTAACGAGTCGGCAACTATACCCACGAAGTCCAATATGACAAAGGAACACGCAACTCCACTTAACCTAACACAAGAGAGACTGGAATTGGAATGTGGGAAAATCATGGCTATTGAACGCAAGGTGACTACTTGAAACGGTTCTTCCAGCAACATGACGATTTGCAGTGCAGTCCCACCTCTAAGAAACAGAAACTGCTACAAGTCAATCTTTGTACAGATGACTTGAATCATCAGGAAAGCTCCAAAACAAAACCGAAGCAGAGCACGAGTAATAGTAGTCGTCGCGGTCGTCGCACTGGTAGTAGTAGTGGTTGTAGGGGTAGTGGTAGAGGAGGATCTTGACGAGGAAGAGTACTAGTGGTTGGAATACTAGAGTGGCAATAGGCAGTTTTTCTAGCCTCGGTGCTTCTTTGTGAACGAGGCCAGCTTTGTTTGTACCTCGATCGTCTTGCATTTGACCTCGGTTTCCTTTTTAGGGACGCTCGTTTTAATCTCGAGTGACTTTTTTAGTCTTGTTTTGACCTGGCCTGCTCCATCTACGGGCAATCAGAGCGATACTGGTATTTTGCAACCAGGGAGCACTACGTCAGATAAATAACCCGCCGCCGCTGTTTCCGCACGTGTTCTTTTGTCGAAACGCGTGTTTCGTGTAGCAGTGTAGGAAAAACGCTTGTTTTCGACTTTATTTTCTGTACATGAATTTATCCAAGTGTTTTCAACACGCTCTGTTTTCGGGGTTTCTGCCCACGCGCTTCTTGCTATCTATTGGGCTGCACATTGTGTTCGGGAATGCAAGCTTTTTTTGGGTTGCACTGTCGGTTCCCAGGAACTGAACCACCACCACCACAACCACCACCACCACCACCAGCACCACCACCACCACCACCACTACCATCATCACAACCATAATCATCACAGCCATCATCACCGTCATCATCATGATCATCACCATCAAGATCATCATAATCATCATCATCATCATCGCCATCAGACTGGAACGTAATTAACCCCCCAGCGCCGCTAGCATAAATAACTAGTAGCCTATGTGATATGTAGTATGCAGAAGCGAGGAAGACACGAAGCAAAGCAGAAGCCAAGAAGGCAGGAAGCCATGCCATCGCGACCAAGAAGCCGAAGCCAAGAGGCAAGCCAAGAATCCACAGAGAAGCACCAAAAGCACTCCCGCAACAAATGTCCCTCCAAAAAGGAGTCCCCATTTCGACTCACAAGCAGCTCACACGAATGCACGCACCGGAGCTGTCTGTTGGTCAGCCAAGGCTCCTCCTGCCGTCGAGCCACATGGCTGAGCCATTGCATTTAAAAAAAATGAGACGCACTGAGCTCCTCTGAACCAATAACTTGCCAATGGCTGCATCATCCAGCTAGCACATCTCACATCATCTCCCCGGATAGGCTGCTAATCTGATAGACTGAGCTCACCACAATGCAACTTGGGCGATATATTTGTCCTAGCGTCTGTTGGCAGCACAACGCACGTGTCATCAGATTCGGGCAACATAAGCCCTGGGCCGCGAAGCTTTGCACTGGAATGGACGAAATCACACTCCCTTGGTGAGGAGATGTGAGGAGTCCCGACGCGGCGAAGATCCACATGTGCTTTGCAGAGAACATCAGCTGCAAAATCTTGAGGCCAGATCCACACTCTCCAGCTGCCAGCCTGCATTCCCGACCTCATGATGATGCAGATCTCGGCTGTTGCGAGCCAAAACAGCCTATGCCTGCGCAATTTGCTGATGATGCCAAAGGCCGGCTACTCTTCAGTCACATGCGGCAGCTATGCACCTACGACCAAAATGAGATGAGCAACCCCCAACGCCCTGCCGCAAGCATGGCCGCCGAATGTCTGACAAAATAGTATCTCAAGCCACTTCAAGCCCCAAAGCGCCTGCGCACTCAAAAATACTAAACTTCGCATTGTCCTAGCCTGGGATGTGAAAGCAGTGGCCGTGTCGACCAAGGACATCCAAACAACCGGACAGATTAATTACCGGTGCATGTGCTTCCTGCATTTTGTCAAATGAGGCCTCAAATGACTTCTTTTGCTGCGATCTGGGGGGCAAGCGCACGCTTCGCTGCATCTCCGCTTCGAGGTTTTGCAGCCATTCCTCTCCAGTTTTCGGTCTCTTGTGTACTTGGGGTGTGATCGTAGGCCAGTGGCTAGCGTCCTCGATATTTCCCTGTGCCATCACAGGTGCCTGCAGTATGACTCGCTCATCCGAGCTTCCAGCAACACCTCACAGGTATACGCCGATCCCTCCATGCGCACAGGTATCCCTGCGACGACAATCGCCAGTCCGTCGGCCAAAGGCGGCCAAAGGGCTCTTGATCTCCTTGATCTTGCGGCGGTCGATCTTGTCAAACCTTCGGCGACACAGAGGATCGGTTTTCAAAAGGGAGCGGAGAGCCGTCTTTCCCATCTGCTGTTCCGAGCTGGTTTATTCCCATAAGGCGCTTGCGTGACGCGGCTGATTGCGTCGAAGAGCTTCTCAAAGTCGTCCTGGAGTGGCCGGGATATGGGATACTCCGGGATGTACTCCAGGGTCATGCATGCACTGCCGTTAAGTATGTACAGACGTCTTCACCTGCCTGCAGCTACAATCAGTCACAACACACTCGACAATATCGAGCAATCCTGGATGGTCTCCGGGTCGCTTCCTGGCCCAACAAGGCTGCTGCTACTGCGCGGCACAAGGTCAACATTACGAGAGGCCTTGCGACAGAATCTTCAGGAGGACCGGATCTGAAGTGAAGAAGAAGCGTGGAAACCTGACCCCACATTCCCTGCACAACACGCTTCAACACGCGACACCTGAAAGGCGAGCGCCGGGCTTCTGCCGCTTTCCTTCCAAGTAGCTCTCCAATGACCTCGCAGCGAGCACGTACAGCGGAGGAACCCGTTACGTCCGTTACGTCCGTTTCGTTTGCGGCCAACGCCGGGCTGCTCAGGGCAGAAAGTGATTGGCGTCCGCCTTGTCTCTGCCCCGAAATTGGCTCTCATCGAGATTAAGCTGAGAGCTTTTGACACGTCTCCAATCCAGCCAGAAGCACCTGCATGAATGGCTTGCTTTGCAAGCGCGCGAGGACTTTTCACAGAAACAACGGATGCCGATTCAAGACGACTGAAGTGGTAGGCTAAGCTTTGTGCTGGCATCATCTGGCGTAGCAGCTCGTTCTGGCAGCAACTTGGCTCAGCGAGCTGTGCATGTGGGCGATTTTTCTGGATGAGAAACCTCGCTGACGGCTGTTAGATCAGGACAGGCGGCTCCACCACATTCATTGTCTCGGCCGACTTGTGCATGATCTTCAGCCAATCCTTGACCCATGCCCCAGCGATATGCGGGCAGGTAAACACTGATGAAGAGCTGCTCAGATTTCATCAACCTGCCCGGTCCTTGTCGATCTGTCCGAACTTCTTTGCCTCCATGGGCATCTGCTTCGCAATGTCTCCGCCTGCTTCTTCTGTGCAAGTGGAAAGAGACAAGCCATCAAGGCTTCCAGGACCTTGGGATTAGGAACAGTCACTGGTGCCTTGCCTGTAAAGACGCTCTCCAATGAAGTCCACATCTGCTGTACCTGCACAGGCTAGTCACAAGGGTCGCTCAGCTAGAAGGAGGCCAATGTTGCCTTGTACCAGCGCTCGATGGTGTCGGCGGTGTCCTTATGGAGGCTGGGCTAGGCTACTTGGCAGTTGCCCATACCCCTGCTGCTGAATCTTTGTTAGAACACAGATATTCAGGAAGCAAATGCCTGTATACATTTTGTAGCATGTGTACATATATACACACAAAGATATATATATATATATACACTAATGCTACTACTGCGACCACCACTAACCGCTAGTTGCCAAGTACTAACTACTAACAAGTAGCTCCGTACTGCTTACTACTTGCCACTTGCCATGTCCAACTTACTACTTATTATTTGCTACTTAGCAAATACTACCTGCTACCACCAGCACTTGCACCAGCACCAGCACTGGCATTGTGACAATCTTTTGCTGCCTACCGCTGGATCCTTGATTATTTCTTTCAAGATTTATGTATGTTTCGTATACATTTTGCATTTACGGTTTCTTTACGAGCTGCGTGGTAGTGCGGTTTTGCATTTATGTGTTTGTTCATAGGTTTTCGTTTACCGGTTTTGTTTACGTTGGCTTTATGTATGTATGCTTTGTGTTATTCTGTCGTCTTGCTACGGCTTTTGTGCTATTTGAGATTATGCATGGTCTTCTTTCGGATTTAGTAACTTTAGCTTGTGTTATGGGCGATGCTTTGTGCGAAGGCTTTTACGTGGCTTGTTTGAGGTTATTGCTTCCATCCCAGCCTTCATCTAAAGTTTAGGGTGTTCTAACATGAAGCCAAGGCTGAACCAGACTTTTGCAACTCGACAAGTCGACTTTGAGGCTTCATAAGATGATCCTACATGACGAAAGTGCTGTATATACCCGATGTTGTTTTAACATGGTTAAGAGCAAGTATAGTTGGTAGGGGGGGAGGGGGGGGTGCCTAGCACCAGCACGAGCACTGGGCACCACTGCTACTACTGCTGCTGCTACTTACTACTGCTACTGCTACTGAGCTACTGCTACTACTGCAGCTGCTGCTGCTGCTACGACAACAACCACTGCTGCTACTACTACTACTACTACTACTACCACCACTACCGCTGCTGCTGCTGCTGCTGCTGCTGCTGCTCCTACTACTACTACTACTACTACTACTACTAGTACTACTACTACCACTACTACCACCACTACCACTACTACTACTACTACTACTACTACTACTACTACGACGCTGTCCCCCCCCTGGTGCGACGCCCCAAGTTTTCATGATAGGTTTTTTACATG